GGCTAAACTCTATTAAAGAGGCAAGGTTGGGTGAGGGTGCTGGGTGAAGGTTGTACACGGAGTTGTGGTGGTGGGGGTTAGTTGTGGGGATAGGGATATAAGAGTATATTTGGAATATCAAGTGGTGTTGTAGAAAGACATAAAATATCCACCAACGAGATTTTCTTTTCGGGGAGTGAAGTGAGATAACAACTATAGTATCAAAGATAAAATGAATGAATTTCTTTTGTTTGATCAATTTTATAGGCTTTAATTGAAGGGGAATTTCAATTTTTTTCAACAATCTCCATTATACAGTTTTTAATAAATTTTCCTTTTATGTACTCTAATATCTTGGTTGTCTATGAGGAAGTGTGTTGAAAGTTGAAAATGGTTGCATCATTGGCTTTTATATCATAGGGTGCTTGGAACTTTTCCTCTATAGAAATTTGAAACCTTATTGAAGCGTAATTGGACATAATTTAATAATTGAAAGGCTTTGATATTTTGGGCCCTGAATACCTTTACTCTTTACTTAATTAGTTTCTGAACTAGTAGCCTTTTTATCCTCACAATAATTTGCATCTTTTATTCATTGCAGACCCATTAAGAACAGTCAAAATGTCGAAAAAAGGTTTGATGGAGCAGGACTTAAGCAAGCTGGATGTGACAAAACTACATCCGCTCTCACCTGAAGTTATTTCTCGTCAGGCTACAATCAACATTGGTATGCTTACATTACATTTAATCTAAATGGCTTTCTGCATGCACTTGTTGAGTATGATATTTATACGAGATTCTTTTTCATCAATTTGTTTGACTGCTTTGAGGTTTACTTATTCGTTGAATCAAATCCCATTTATATTTGTTCTTGAAGGCACCATTGGTCATGTGGCTCATGGGAAGTCAACAGTGGTGAAAGCCATATCTGGAGTCCAGGTATAACTGTTTTCCTCTTGAATGTTATGCCTATATATTCTTCAGTCAGTACATAGAATGTTTTCCCAGGCTTAAAACTTATGCTTATAAGTAAATAAGTGAGTTTTAAACAAATTAATATTTTTTATTTGTTAAAGCTTAAAATATTTACTTATTCTCATGGTAAGGTAAGGTTTTACTGATAAAATAAGCAAATTCTAATTGCTAAAGAGAAAAAAATAACACGTTTAAACATGGTGGGAAACATTTACTTATTTTTAAGCATAGCCAAACATGATCATAGTGAGATAGAAACACATTCTTGCAGCTGTAAATTAATTTTAGCTTCAATTTGGTTACTGCTTTTTAGTTTCTTTGTAAAAACTAAACAAATGGTGGTCAATACTTATCTAGCCCTTAACACAAGTATAGCCCTTAACACAAGTATTTTACAAGGCTTCCCTCCTTGAGGCTATAACCTTGTGTATGTCAATCTTTGAAGGACAACTTTTTTATTCAAGCTCAATGATTGCTTTAGATAAGTCCTTCCATGATAATATTTATGGAATCACGTGTAACTTTGTTAAAGTGATAACATTCTTTAAATCTTCTGTTTGTGGACGACTTGTATTGATTTGGCACCATTTGCACCTATATATCTTATTCTGATTCTCTTATTAGGGTGTTTGCTAAAAGGCCTCCCCACAATGGACACAGCAAGAATGCCTTGTTTCTGAATTGTTTGTTCAAAAGACATTGCTATTGTATAAAATGTCTTAAATATCCTTATGTTAGATGTGACCCTTTTTGTCATTTTCAATCCATTCAACTAGGGTGTCAACTCAACCGGACCCTATTCAAGAATGCATTATTCCCAAAATAATGTGGCTCAAACACTCCCCGCCCCCTAAATATCCACGGTTCGGGATCGAAAAATGCAGTCCGAAGCTGATGAAATAGATGCTAACTTTCAGTATTTCAAAAGCATTCCTCAATTGGGTATTGCTCCGTTTCTTGTTGAAATGGTTTTAAGCGTCTGGGCATCAATTCTGCAACATTCTGTAATGTAGCTACTCCTTTTTTAAGAAATCTTATGAAGCAAAAGCTGGAGAAATGACATGTAAGGAAGTTCAAAGATAGATAACGGAGAGTTTGAGGGGGAAACAGTAAGGGAAGAAGCAAACTGAGAAAAAGAAGAGAGAAGGAAAAGAAGATAGAGGGAGCCTTTGATGATAACATTAACATAGGAATGGGCATGTGAGAAACAGGAAAATAATGGGCTTATAGGAGCAGCACAAAGGATGAGAAGGTAAAAAGGATTCGACTGGTGGAGACGAAGAATAATATGACGCAGGATGTTTTGGGGCTTTTAGTTGTTTGATGATACTTTAAAAAAATGTCAATCAAGACTATTTTTCCTTTTCATTTTAAGAGAGTTCTTCAGACAAATTCCTTATTTTTATGGATATGCCTTTATTATTGTTATCAATTATTATAAATTTAAGTTGAAAAAATTGACTGGGGAGGCATTGGAAGTTCTTATGCCTTCTATCTGTAGACTGTTCGTTTTAAAAATGAGCTGGAACGTAATATTACCATCAAGCTTGGATATGCCAACGCAAAGATATACAAATGTGAAGATGATCGATGTCCTCGACCTATGTGCTACAAGTAAGTCCTTAAATATGGATTTGTATGAGTTGATGTGCTTTGTTCTCAGGTCTTGTTTGATATGCTAAAATGTCAATTGCTTTTCAGGGCGTATGGAAGTGGAAAAGAAGATAGCCCAATGTGTGATGTGCCTGGGTTTGAAAACTCCAGGATGAAACTGCTAAGACATGTCTCTTTTGTTGATTGCCCGGTCAGTATTTGAGCTGCCATTTCTCAAAAAACTGCTACATTATTTATTTCTCTAAACAATTCTCGTAACAATGCCATCCAAATTTTCACTCGGTGTATCTTGGTTCCATAGAATATTATGTGCTAGTCTTGTCTCTGGGCTTCAAGATTATTTATGTTCCTGATGATAAGTTCTGTTGCTGATTCGAATACCCATAGGGTCATGATATTCTCATGGCTACAATGCTTAATGGAGCGGCAATTATGGATGGAGCTTTACTTCTCATAGCTGCCAACGAGAGCTGTCCCCAACCTCAAACTTTAGAGCATTTAGCTGCTGTTGATATTATGCGCCTTCAGCATATAATAATTCTTCAGAATAAAGTTGATCTAGTTCAAGAAAATGTTGCAATCAACCAGCGTGAAGCCATTCAGAAATTTATTGAGGTTAGTGATGCATATCTTACATAATCTTGTATATTACATTAACTTTCTTATATAAGACAATCTTCCATTTTGTGCTCTTAGGGAACTAACGCAGATGGTGCACTAGTGGTACCAATTTCTGCACAGCTCAAGTATAATATTGATGTTGTATGCGAATATATTGTGAAAAAAATCCCATTCCAGAAAGGAACTTCATTTCACCCCCAAATATGATTGTCATCCGTTCTTTTGACGTCAATAAGCCTGGATTTGAAGTTGATGAAATTAGAGGTGGGGTTGCGGGTGGAAGCATTCTGAAGGTATATTTATTTGTTACTGAAATGAGTGCAATCAAAAAGATTTCTATATTTTACTACCGGCCTCTTTTATGATAAAACTGCTTGTCCGACTTTTTCCTGGAATATCAATCGTGCTGATAATATTCTGTTTTTATATAAAGCTGATGTTTTCTCCAAGTTACGTGTTATGATTTTTCCTCCCATTCTCTGCTTCATCAGCAAACACGTGCAACTTAAATTGTAAAAGGCCAATGATTAAAGGAGCTGATCGATTATTTGTGCAGGGTGTTTTGAAGGTGAATCAATTTATTGAGGTTCGTCCTGGTATTGTTGTTAAGGACGAAAATGGAAACATCAAATGTACCCCAATATATTCTAGAATAGTTTCGTTGTATGCTGAGCAAAATGAACTGCAATTTGCTGTTCCTGGAGGCCTCATTGGGGTCGGAACCACTGTGGATCCTACACTTACACGTGCTGATAGGTTGGTGGGACAGGTTCTTGGAGAGGTTGGTTCACTTCCTGAGGTGTTTGTTGAACTGGAGGTATGCGTTGGTGCAAGAAAATAACTTATATATGCTTTTAATTACATATATAGTTAAGTTGGTAAGACCTGCATCCTAGCTGTAAGACTATTGATTTATTGTAAGCTTTTTAAGAAAATTGAATTCTTCCTGAAGCTTTTTCCATCCATTACTTCCAACAAGTGATGGATAATCTATTACACATTGGTTGGATTCATTTATTGCTCAACATTTCTCTCTTTGATGCAGGTTAATTTCATTTTGCTGACGCGGCTGTTGGGTGTGAGGACAAGGGACTCAGAGAGGCAGGGTAAGGTCTCAAAGCTGGCTAAGGGAGAGATTCTTATGTTGAACATAGGATCTATGTCAACAGGTGCTCGAATCATTGCCGTCAAGAATGTTTTTGCGAAACTACAACTCACATCTCCTGTGTGCACGAGCAAAGGTGAGAAAATTGCTCTCAGCCGAAGAATCGAAAAGCACTGGCGCCTGATTGGTTGGGGCTCGATTCAAGCTGGTATTACTCTAGAAGTCCCACCTTCCCCATTTAATTGAAATACAGTTGATTTCAGAGAAGAAAGAAAAAACTAAGCAATTACAAGCAAATTAGGGAATAGATGTGGGAGGGTGGGCATCTAAGGGTTACAAGTTTTGTTCAATGGAGAAAAGATAATTTGGATTTTCAAATACTTTTATTGTTTGTGGAAATCTTTTTCTTTCATTTTCTAGTGGGAGTTCCTTATTCCTTGTTATCATTGCTTGAATGCCTTTTTGTTGTCAAGTTACTAAGCAAGAAATGTGCTTGTTCAATGCCATAACTGAAACAGCAATGCTGAAAATGCTGGTCGTACAGAAGGGTGTTTACATTCTTCTTGACAGATCAGACACATGAAGAGGCGGTGGCCACGGCTTCTTGCATTTTTTATTCATGTGGGATCGACTCGGGACCCACACACATGTGAGTATCTATCATGTAGGATGTAAACCATTTTCTGGTAGAGGAGCTTTATTCTAACTGAAATCAAACTCTCCAGTATTGAAATGCCAACTTATACGACACTGTTTTGCTAGAGCCAAGATACTCTTCTCTAGGATAGTCTCAGATCCCCGTATTGGGGTTTATGTTTCATTGTCATTATTACATATTCCCCAGCAAAAGGTTGAAATGAGTCTCATCACTACGAATAGTCATGAAATATATGTTGACTTGGCTACTTGTTATTAAACTACATCTCCAAGGTATCAGCCACGTCGACTGGATACAAGTCGATAGTATCAGTCCAGGCATTAGTTTACTGAGGCTTGATGTTGCATACACATCTCCATACTGCACTGTTACACTTGAATCCACTTCCAAATGCAATTTGCCATATTCTGTCGCCTTTCCTTATTCTCCCTTTGGCTTCTGTATAACTTAGTTCATACCAAATAGATGAGGAAGAAGTATTCCCAAATCTATGCAGTGTCATTTTTGAGGCTTCAACATCTTCTTTCCTCAATTTAAGGCTTTTCTCTATCGCCATAATAACAACCCTTCCTCCTGCGTGTATGCAGAAATGCTCAAACCCTTTTCTGAAATCTGGTATATAGATTCCTTTCTTGCCTAAAATCTTCATTTTCTGCAACATTAAGGACAACCCATATTGAAATTGTTCTGTCAATGGCAAGACCATTGGACCTAACAAAACCATGTTTGTTTTTAATGCTTCTTCTGCTACATTCATCACGTTCTTCGATATGGACACTCCTACTTTGTTTTCATTGTCAACTTCCTGGAAAACACAGGCATAAGATTGATCATCTTCTGCTCGATTTGTTCTTATAAGGTTGTGTAGCACGTACTTTGATTTCTTCCTATCCTGATCGCGACTAGACATTAGAATTGCAGCACCCCCCATTCTAAATAGACAATTGGTTAACAACATTGAACGATCCTTCCCGGTATACCAATTCTGACTCAAGATTTCACTGCTCACAACAAGTGCCAACGAGTTTCTATGAACTCGTAAAAGATCATTAGCTAAACCTACTGATATAATTCCTGAGCTACATCCCATACCAGAAAGATTGAGACTCATAATATTGCTCCTCATTTGGAACTTGTTAATAACCATTGCACTGAGTGAAGGTGTAGGTGAAAACATACTAGAATTCATGATCAATATATCTATGGCTTTAGGGTTTATGTTGGTTTTCTCTAATAATTCCCTAACCACTGAAGATTACTATTGTAGCTTCATCTTTGTTGAATGAAAGAGACTTTGTTATGGGAAGTTGACTTAACAATGGAGGAATGCAGGTTTCTTCACTGAAACCTAATTTTTCCAGGATCTTAATTTGGAATGCCAAACTGTTCTGATCAAATTGTTCGTGGAGCAAAATGTGCTCTATGAACATGGACAGGGGTAGGCGATAGAATGCAGGTGGCTTATAGCAAGTGTAGTCGAGTAAGTATATTGAAATCTTATTCCTGTACACGAGATATAGTGTGGTTATGAATAAGATTAAAAACATTACCATGCGATGATTGCTAATGGTGAGGAGGTCAGGAAGAATTTGCTGTAAACTTGCCATTTGAAGAGAATCTTGATTGTTGAATGTAGTTTAAACTAACTTGAGTTGTAGTTTGTTTCTTGAAACCAGAGATTGTGTTTATATTGAAGTGTGGTGGGGAAGAAGATAAGAATTTGTTGTGTAAAGGGTGGATAAAACACTCTTTTTGTGCTTGTTTTAGTCAATATTATTTACACGAAAGGATCATCCTGTCTTAGTGTCTTGTACTTCTGTATTTTAGCACATAACAAACTTGGATGAATTCTAGTATTTAATTTCTCCTAATCACTTATATTAGGTTGTATAAAGAATTTAGTATAAAATTATTATAATTGATATTAATAAGTTGATGGTATTATCTTGGATTAATATTCAAAAGATAGTCGTTTACACTACCGATTGTACAGCATGATGTAGAGGTTGAACATAGGTTTGAGTCTGATAACAAAAAATATAGTAAATGGCAATCTTCTAAGTGAAATATTAAAGATATTATTCACTTTTAATCTACCCTAATACCCTTTTATAATCTTCATTATAATTTTATACTTAATTCATTTAATCTAGTACGCCAAACAAAAGGCAGTTCCTGGGATTGCTCAGCAGCATCTTGTATGTTCAACTCAACATAAATAAATGACAATATTACATGTACATAATTGTTTACACACGACTTTTTACTCCCCTCACATGAAAGGGGCTTACACACAATAAAATATGTGTGAGCCCTCCTCCATGTAAAAGGGGTGTAAAGCTGTGTGAATATTTTGAGGTGTACACATGATATTATTTTAAACTAATAACGTGTTTGTACCGAGAATAAAATGAAATGTCTGAATTCCCATTAGATTTTAGATATTATATTTATTAGGGTTGTTTGAAAATTTCTATACCTTTTTTGGTTGACCAACCCAGCTCGACTCATCTAAACTTACTTTTTCCCATTTTTCTTGGAAGATTAGAGGAGGAAATTATAGTGATTTTTGTCCACTCTTTTTGATCTAGGCGCTGCTACTTGGACCATTTATACAAAAGTTTGATAGAATCAAAAAAGTGGAAATTACAAATTTTAATAGATTAAAAATCTCCATTTCATAAATAAGATGCAATGTTTAATATTTCACAAACCAGAATTTTTTTAATTAATTAATATATTTAAAAATTAATCTAAATAAATAATAAATTCATACCCTAATTATTCTTCAACTTTCATTTCCCCCTACCCCCAATTCTCTCTCTCTCTCTCTCTATCTCTATCTCAACGCTGCCCGGCGACAAATGGAGGAGCTGCTCCATTGTACCGTAAACGAACTGGTGGCGATCTGTGGTGGTTGGGGTAGTATGTGTGCAGCGGCGGCGTGTATGTGCATGGGTGTGGTGGTGTGTGCGGCGGTGGTGGCATGAGTGTTATGTGTTTGGGTCGTATTGACTGTGGTTATGGTGGGGGTGATGCTCCGATGGTTGTGGGGATAGTGGTGCTAGCGGTGACCGATGGCTGGGTGTATGGTGTTGTGTAGCGTTGCGATTCGGAGGCGACCGACAGCAGCAGCGATCTGGCCGTGAATGACAAGATCTGGTCACGATCTGCAGCAGAAGCGTTCGATGCCGGCGTTTCTCCATGGGCGCTACAAATCTATTTTTTGTGCAGTGAGTGGTTAGTTCGATGTTGTGGTTGAGTGCGGAGACCGGTGGCTTGGTGTGCGGTGTTGTGTGATGGTCGCGATCTGCAGCAGATGCGTTCGATGCAGGTGTTTCTCCATGGGCGCTACAAATCTATTTTTTGTGCAGTGAGTGGTTAGTTCGATGTTGTGGTTGAGTGCGGAGACCGGT